TTAACGCATTGCCGAGCCCTCTGGTTCTATTCTCTTCAGGTTGTGGCTCCGAACTTGTCCTAATCGCGAAGTCCTTTGACTGGCCCGGTGTGTTTGCCTCCTTACTTATCGTTGTCACTACACCAAATTTGTCCATGGTTCCAGTCTCTCTTCTGACGTGTGCCTCACTCTCCTGGATCGAACTATTGAGACTGACTTGAGATCCAAAGTCCCCTTGCTCCTCTTCATCCTCTTCCTCCTGGGACTCCCCATCGTTTCCTGCTCCCCCTCCCATGCTGAATGGAAAGATGTTTCCGAAGGTGTTCTTCATTCTTTCTGAGAACGATGATGAGGTTGTTTGTTTTCCAGTTCCGCTTGCCATCATAGTGTTGTCTGTCGGAGATCTTCTAGTTGCCGTTACTTCAGTTGAGATGTCGGACAGTTCCGACATCTCCTCTCGATCCAACGTCCCGGTGGAAGTGGCAAAATCATGGCCTTGTTCTACCGGAGTAGATTCACTCGCCAGCCTTCTGCCTCTCCCTTCCAGTCCATTTACTCCCTGGTTGTCGTTCATGGTATGGTCCGTATTGACCTCCACTTCTAATAGTTCTCTTCGCTCTTCTGAGGTCTTCTGACTTCTCGTTTCAACCATTCTGCCTGAAACCGTCCCCCTTTTGTCAGACCCGGATCGCTTGATCCAATCCACAAAAGGATCGGTCATCGTTTTTCTTTGCTTTTCAGGTATGAATTTCCTAGAGCTATTACCTCGTTTTGGTATCCTCGACTTGTCTAAACTCATTCTTTATTTGTCACTTTCCTATGCCCACTCTTGACTCAATTGCTAGAGACCTTATAGTTTTATTAACAAAAATAATGACACAACACAATAAATTTCACCAGAATCTATTAAATAGTGACCACGAATCCCTGTATGTTGTCAGAGTACAGTTTGTATAAAATTTATTCACACTAGCCGATTATCGGTCCAAAGATCTGGAAACTAACACAATATGATGTTATCAGTCAATTTAAAAGATAGTGTAGTCACTACCCAATCAAGCACAGTTTAGGTTGATTTAAAATCAAAAACAAAAAAAATATATATATTGACACAATATGAATGAATATATAAAAAAACGTATGTGTCTTGTACTCTTAGTCGGTCGCAGTACAATAGTCGAACCTGTCTTTTAAAGAAAGAGCTTTCCCTGCTTGGTGCTGCACCAAACAGACAAAACTTTGAAGGCAGTAATTTTCTCAAGTGGGCGTCTATTGCACCCACCGAGTACTGTGTTAGCTATCTGCCTTCGGACTGCCCGAGCTAGACCTACTAAAATCCTCAGGGCAGTCACTTTCCCCAAAAACGTATTATGTTTCAATCCACACCAATGAGTCAAGCTCTTTTTAATTTAGACTTAGTGTCGCGAATATCCGAGTTCGGACCTGTTTTGTATTAGTCTGGTTCTTTTTGAGAGGCAAGTTACCAGTGCAGTCACTGATACCTAGCCTGTGTATTAATAACCTAATACCTCTCGCTTTTTAGTCTTTCTTTCGTTTACCTAAGTCCTTAATAAAATAATACCCCTCCGGATTGGCACAAATAGGACCCTTCCGGACTGTCAGAATATAGACCCCTCCGGATTGGGACCCCTCCGAGTTAGTTAATAGTAGACCCCTCCGGATTTGGACCCCTCCGAATTAGCAACTATAAGACCCCTCCGGATTCGGACCCCTCTGACTTCGGAGCCCTTAGCTCTGTCAAAGTAGCTTTTTGTAGTTTTCTTAATTTCAGCTTATACCCCTCCGGATACGTTCTGCGTTGCTATTATGCTGTTTGAATTAACTGGGAAGGGTATAGGGTCCTTTCCTAGACCCCTCCGGGTTGAAGTTAAGGCACTTATTTGACAATTCACACTAACGGTGAAGGGTCTTATCACTTGCCTAACTTCGACTCTATTATGGTTGTCTTGTGCCTTCAGCCTTCCCTTTTTGTCTAGAACTGTCCTAAGTTACTTAGTTCAATCGCTATCAACTTTTGGTAGAGGTATAAGGGTTTTTCAGAAAAATTTATAAAACGTGAAGGGTGTACCCCTCCGGATTTGTGTAATTTGCTAAAAACAATCTCAAAAAATTTTCTCGCTAGCTTTTCCGAAAAATTTCTGATCCTATTAGTAAGCTCAGCTAATTTCTGATCTATTGGTACCAAGATCAACTCGATATGATCAGTAGTTCCAAAGTTATTAACCAAAACGTCTTTTTTCCGAACTCAAAAAATTTTCTCTCTTATAGGTTCCGCCTAACTTTTTCCGCAAATCTAGTCCTTTCGACCTAAAAATTATTGATCCGAGCTCAGAAGGCCTATACTCTTCTAGTTCAATGCAAAAGACCCGATCTAAAACGCTATTGTAGAAAAATTTTGCGAAAAACTATGCTACCTGGACCCCTCCGGATTGATGAATCCACCAAATCAAACACGTTATGTTCGATTTCTCTGCAACCCGGAAGGCTTTCGGGTAGCGGATTTTAAGACTTGTAGATTCACTAGTGGACGTTGTCCGAACAACTATTTTTACTGTCCTACCTCAAAAATTTCAAAAAATTTTCTAAATTTTTAGTGTTTCTTACTATCAAAAATTGGGAAAATTTGGTTTTTGGTACCAAACTAGTTCCAACCACTTCCGAACTAAAGTTAACCGGTTCTACTTGATACAGTAGTGCAGTTACGATGTAACACACTAGCTTAGCGCTTTTTTCCGTTTCAAAAAAAATATCGATATATCAAAAATCGCGACTTGTGGGGGGATCAAAATATCGCAATTTTGATCCTAAAAACCGGTCTGTTTTCGTTGTTTTTCACTGAAAAACGATATAAGACTATTAATATAGGCTATATAAGTAATAATATTAGTAATACTATGCCCCTCCGGGTTTGTTTATTATCCGAATTAAGGTGCTTAACTCGGATATTCGCAGTTCGGTGAAGGGTCACTACAGTGCAGCACTGTCGAGCCCCCCACAGATTACTATCTTACTTTTTGTACCAAAAGGGATACAAAACTTGTTAACGATACCCAACAGTCGATTGTTGTTGTCGTTGAGCCCCTTCTTGTTGCTCCTTGTACTGCTTGCCGGATCGGTCTTCACCCAAGACCCTTCCGAATTGAGCGCAAATCAGCTGACCCCTCCGGATTGAGCGCAATTTATCATTAACGTGCTTAAATGCTCAAATAACCCTACAGTACAAGCCTCACAAACGGGCCTCAAAATTGATCGTAACGATCCTGACTGATATAAATGCCTGTAACAACAATATATCTATCAACAACAAACGGGGGGGTTGAATCACATCTTGTCTGGGGGGATGATTTCTACTGATTTTTTACTTTTTTACTGTTTTTGGTTTTTTCGGTTATTTTTTATGTTTTTTGTTTTTCTTGGGTACTATACTACTTTTTGTTTGGTTTTACTTCTATCTTTAAGTGTTTTTGGTCACCAACCACTCAGGGGACGAGGGGACGGCCGATCCCCCCACCCTTCCTGGTTCGTGAATTTTCGGTCTTAACTAGGTTAAAAAACTATTCACGGCAATTCGGAAGGCCTCCGCGTTCCGAACTACCCTTCCGCCCCGGCGGTTTAGGCCTATTAAGGGCGTTAATGTGAGCATCCGCTCGGCGCGGAGTGCTCGTTAACGGTTCTGCCGGTCATGATGTTAAAAAAGAATAACACCCAGGAGCGCCATAAAAACATACATGTAACATTCGCCCGGAAGATACATATCGACGGATAACAAAACTAAGTCTTAAGACGACTGGCTAGCGTCTAAACAGAGCTTTGCATGTTTTTCACCGTCTCTACCAAGCCAGTACTTTTCGGTGGTCTTTCTTACATCAGGCTGACAAAAACGTTACTGTTCTCCGGCTTCGACCAGAACGCTCAAATTAACTGAATTACATGCAAATTAGTGAGCTCATGGCTGGGTCTCTGTATCCCCAGACCACGAGGTCACTCCTAAAAACAGGGCTACTACTTATTATATTACTATTGTTTTTGTTCAGTAGATAAAAATCATCATCTCCATCGAAGATGGATCAACCCTTTCCCCCAACTCCTAGCACCTCATCCTTGTCAAAACTAATCAAAATATCAGTTAAATTCAAGTCAGGACATGACAGGATGCTAAAATTCAATACAAGTTCATAAAAGTTCCCGTCCCGAGACCCTTCCGGATTCTTGAATCCGGCGAATCAAGCTCCTTAACCTCAGGTTCACGCTAACTCGGAGGGCTGGTTTTTACCCTTCACCGTTGTTCGCAACGGCCTTGCAACTATTGTAACAGCACAATAGTTGCAACTCGGAACGTCCTCTGCTGTTCGGTAGTTCGTTGTTGTTTTTTAGTCTCGATTTTCGTACTGTTCGTAATCGCAGATAAAGTTGTTCTGTTTCTTTCTGCTATTTTAGCCAAAATGGCCGTTTTAACATTTCTCAGAAATGTTACGTCATCACTTCGAAAATTTAAAATTTAGAATTCCAGAATCTTCTAGCCTTCACCGTTTGGCCAATCATTCAAATAACGTCCTTATCCGTTCTAAATCGCCAATCCGGAAGGTTCACTGCTAAAATCCTGAATTCTGCAGAGACTGCATTTTGGCCATTCTGGTCGAATGTCACAATCTGAGATAAATTCCATCGCGGAATTCGGATTTATTTATGTTGAAATTATATCTGCTAAGTGGCCAGTTTGAGTCTCCTTATTTGGAGGCTAGCTCAAGTGCGTATTTTTGCAATTAAAGTATTCATTTTTTTCATAGTTAATTTCGACGTATTGTATGCTTACTTCCAGATAAAACCGACTCGCATTCTTTCTGGTCCAATGGCACACCGAGACTTTTTGTTATTGATAGTACTTTTTAGAGCTGCTGTTCTGTCGTGTGCTCAGTGTTTGCGAAGCGCATGTTCGCCTCTGTGTCTAAATTGAAATTTTGAAAAAGGAAATAGCTCCGGATACGGCAAAAAGAAAACAGCTAATTTTTTTTAGAGATGTGATGTATGCTCCGTACGCGGATAAAATCCGCAGTGATCAGCAATCTCTCCATATCAAAAAACTTTCAGTGTTGGTATTTTGTTTGACGATAAATTTCATCCCCATTATGACATCAGAACCAATAGAAGGTACGTTTTTGCAACTAATTTGATAGATTTCATTTTAACCTGAACGTGATGATGTCTACGTTTTTTTTTACCAGAGCTTGATATCGTTACCTTTTTAGTTCTCGATCTCTACCTGAAACAAAATAGCGACGGATTAATGGTTTTCCTTCTGCTCCCAGGGCAGTTGAAATCAGAGCTGATTAAGAATGTCCGGTCATGCACAATATTAGTCAGCCAAGAAAAAAACAGTTTGGAGATTGTCCCATTTTCGATTTCCTCCAGTTTTCCAAAAGAAGTGTCCGTTTCCATGGACGAGGATGAAGTTCAAAGTGATTCTGCGAATGAGTTAACGCCCGATTCCCAGAAGCAAAGAAAACTAAGAGAAAAAGTGTCAGTTTCTGCTTCTTGTGAATGCAATAAACCGAACAATGAAGAGTCGCTGACCTTGACATCAAATACAGTCGAAGTATTTCCGGGTATGTCCAACCAAGATATTGCATTTAGTTCCATCTGAAAGCATCGTTTGAAATTTACATGTGAATTTTAACTATGAAGCTTGTTTAAGTTTAAAGTTGATGTTTCAGGTCTAACCGAACCTAGTCCAATGTGGGCTCTTCAGCCGGAAGATCCCGAGGGCAATGGGTCAGGAGGGGATTCTCTCGGTGGTTATGAGGGAGACGATGCTGAGTTGTTTTCAGCCAATGAGAAACTCACTCTGGCACTTGTTGGAGCAGGAATGCTGTTTCTCTCCACTGTTGTTATTCTAACTGTCATAATATTGTCTCGGAATAATCAACTCAAATGCTTCCAAGCGTTAGTTTTTTTAATGGATATTTTCCTTTGCTTAATGAAAGATATAACACCTTTGTTCAATAATTTTGGGTATAGCGTGCCAACAAATATGCCAAATTTTTGAAAAGGCACATTCATTAGTCTGATCTTGGTTACTCAAGCGATAAGAAAAAGTGTTGTAATCGAACACTAGATATTTTCCCGGTAGAACATCCCGCTGTCTGATCTTATCTTGGCTTACTGAAAAACGAAGAAATGGTTATTTCTTTTGCGAGAGCAAGTGACTTGTAATCGAAGATAAGACATTTTTTCCCGTAAACAACTTTTTATGCGAAAATTTGAAGTCGTAGTTAGTACCAAGCATTTCTAATCGACCAAGGGAAAAATTCCCAGCCTTCGGAGCCTAAAGTTTGGGATTGGAGTCTTGGTTCGACCTGTATTTACGCTTGCGAGAGCAAGTGTCTTGTAATCGGGGCCTCGACTTTTTTCACCGTAAACAACTTTTCTTTTCAATCTTGAGAAAAGAATGAGAAAAAAGTTTGAAACGGCGGACTTCCGATTGTCTGCCTATATTTTTTGGCTTTGTTGCCGAATCGGGAATGTTTCTTCTGCTGTTAGTTTTTTTTCTTTTGTGTTTTTTTGTTTCGCTTTAAAGCTTTTTTCAGGTTAAAAAACTTATGCTTTATCGGATAAACTTTTTTTTCAGGCCAACAACTTTTTTATTAACAAAATTGCCTGAATTATTTGATATCGTGATTCATAATTAATTCAAATGCTTTGGATTCTCAAACCGAGCTTAGAGGTACCGATCACGCCTGGTGCAGCAGAGATCCTAGGTGTGAATTTGGCCAGGACCTATTTTTCTTTAAAATTGAAAAGTTCCTGTTTCATTTAAATTAGCCGCCTTTTGTCTGTCTTTCTATCTTTTGTCGGCTTATTTGCCACATCGCGGACTTTTCTGTCTGAAGTAATTTTATTGTAATTGAAATTATTTTCGGTTTGATACGAATTTGTTTATAGAATCGTTCCTTTAAACGACGACATTGTTTGAGGCAACTAAGCCATTATAACATGCATCAAATCATTGAAGCCTAAAATCCTTTAGAGCAAAAAAAAATCACAACAATAAATCTTCTCTACTTATACTTAGCGGATACGTTTTTTTCACGGCACAGAAAAAATCCTACCTACTCCGATAAAAGTTTTTTTTTAACTCTTTACTTTGTTCAGAGGTTAGCCAATCCCACCAGAGAAACGCACGCCAAATTATCCTGCTTTTTAAGGCTCACGATTCACTTTGATTCAAGCAAGTGATAGAATTATTAAGAGTAATGAACGTAACGAAGACTCTTACATAGGTCTTGCTGATTTTTTTTCAGGAAGTCTTAAAAGTCTCTAATAATTACAGATGTCCGTTCATACATATTGATTCATTTATGAATGCACATAGGTAAATATGCACTTTTTGAGTTCAATTGAAATTCATCTGCTGAAAGTGACGTAAAAAGCAATCTCCAAATACGAATGTGGAAAGGCGCAGAAAAACGTGAACGATTTCTGGTTTCGAAAGTGGAATTTAATTTTTAGATTTCCAGCGAAATAAAAACTTATCTATTGATCCAGTTTTCTCTAGTTGGCTTAAAGTTCTCAAAAAAAGCGCCATTCATAAATTGTACCAGAAATTCAATGAGGTTAAAAGGCATCTATTTTTTCCTTGAAATTCGAAAGTTGAGATTTTTTTCATTACTTTTTTCCAATGTTCGATTGGCTATGTTTTTGCTCTGCCGGCATAGCCCTTTTTTCAAATTCTAACCAAGCGGTTGTGACACAATCAAAGCATTTGTCATTAAGTGTCATTAAACGGAGCAAATATGTTTCATCAGGTCGTATGATTTATAGTTAATTTTTTTGCTAAATGGAAAGCAAGTTAGGCTCTGCAATAACCAAAGTTCAAGTTGAACAAAAATTAACCTCTGGTATGGTATTTATTCCAGAGTTTGTTCTTGTTCAAGGTTCAATTCCAACTTTTTTGCTTTAGGATGGTAAATAATGACCTCGCAAAATACAAATTACGCAAAAAAAGTATATGATTTACAATTTCGCCAGTGAAGTTTTCTGTTTAATTTTCCTAAAGAATAAAAACAACGTATTGATCTTTTTTTTTCATTGGTTTTTGTTTAATTACCAAGCAAAGCGTTGTGTGATAGTACGATGCAACTTTTTTGCCTACCACATCGCAATTAAAAGTGATACTTAAGACTCATAAAGTCACATTGACAGTACAGGTCGCATTGAGCTTCGAAATTTGATTAGTAGTAAATTAACATAGTTGACGCTTTTTTAATTTCATCAAATGAAGCGAAAAAATCTATTTGTTTCATCTAACAGCTCAAAAGATAAAATTCGATTTCAGAGATTTTGAAATGTGTAATTTATACACAATTAACTCTATATCTTCCAGTTTATTCCATGCAAAATTAGTGTGAGTGTCTTTAGTTTATTATATTGAAAATCTTTACACTTCAAAATTTATTTGTTTTTGCGCATCTTCAAGCGCCTGGATCTGTTGCTGCTTTCTCGCTCGTGTTTTTGAAGTTGCAGTTTGGCTATTATGTCAAAAAGGTGTCAATGTTAAAAGATTCGTGAAATTCAAAAACCGTTTATGTAAATTGACTCCCGAAAGTATCGGTCTCATTGAGTTCGTTTCACACAGGAAAAAGTAGCTTGAGTTGCTCGCTCTCTAATTCATTATTTTTTTGCCATTGACTCAATTTGTTCTCAAAAATCGATGGCAAGCATAACTTGCCTTCAATTTGGAAGTCAAATGGCAAAAAAAAATACCTAGAACGAGAAACAATATTCACGACCTTTGCCTGAAAGCAAAAACTGTACCAAAAGTGCAAATGGAACAAATAGAAATGGAGCAAAAAAAACTGATAAACTTGGCTGATAAACTCGACTGATAAACTAGAAATGGAACATGTTTGTGCTAAAATCCGTTTTTTCTGTATTTAAGGTTTTTAATTCATAATGGTATAGAAAGGCAAATTGTGTTCTCCAAGAAAAAAGGTAAATGGCTGGTAAACCGTGATTGAACTTTGATTTACATAATTTATGGTTTTCTTTTAATTCCTCACTTGATTTTTCTTTGACACTGTGTAACGGTACTGTTTATCCAGTGCTTAAATTACCTAGTTGTTTTCTTTAATTACTTTTGTCGACGTTTTTTGGATTTTTTAAAGTTTTTTATCCTATTTGCCGGGCGTTCTTTTAATAATGTTTTTCTTTTCATTCTTAGTTCTTGTGATATAGTGTCCCTTCGGATGGCTGTGGACAGCTATATCGTCGTTTATTGATAATGTTGTAAGCTGTTCGAATATTAATTAGCGCTACTGGCTATCGATTGTTATTGATTGTTTCCATAATTTATATGTCTCGAGCGGTTAAGACTTATCTTGCTTTTAAGGACGCAGGATTCGGTTCTTAACTTCTGGAATATCGCTAGTCGATCGGCGCAAGTTAGAGCATGATTCTAATATTTTATTCTCTTCAAGTCTACCCAATTGATTAGTAGCTCGGTATATATCTCCTCTCGTTGGTATTAATTACCATCAATATTTACATAGTTAAATAAATATAAATGTATGAACTTCATTTCATTAACAAGGCTAATTATGTAATCTAATATAGCATAAGAATGCATGACGTCATGTAGTGATGTCACACTACCTCACAAGAAGAAATCTTCCCGGGTGGTTTTCAGTTTTTGACTGTTTACAGTTAAAATAATTAAGTTTAAAATCGACAATCAGATTGACAAAATATATACTGCTACAGGAAAATGAGTAATTGAACTATCAAGTTATCACAAAAATAATTAACATTCATTGGTTTAGAAGCACAGGTTATTACTTCAATTTACATTATGTGAAAGAGAATTCAATTGAGTTTAAATGGGAAATATTTAAATGGGGATAGGAAGCCACATTGAGTCGGGTTAAGGGAGTTAAGTGATAGATGATAGGGTCAGATTAATGATATCATGATGTATTCAGTTGTCAGCTGTAGCTGAATTTGCACGGCAAGTTCTGTCGCGTGGATTAGCAGACTAGTTTTGGTCGTCGTTTCGTTTCACATTTTGGTATCGCTGTCTTTGTTCGTTCGTTGCTTGGCATTCGTGTTGCTCTATCGATGCTGAGGTCGGTGTCTAAGTTAAGATGAGGCTGTTAAGTTCTTCTCGTATCCTCAATAATTGCGAATGTGTTTTCAACAACTTAACAATGATTTGTTTTATTGAAATATTCACTTTGTTTTTGAAGCTTTTCAACTAGAAACGCAATTTGTACTCTGTTATACATGCTTATAATTTGATCCTTCGTCTTCTACTCGTTTTTTGTTTTTGTTCCCTCAAAAGTCTTTTTGTCTTCTTCGTATGGGTGTTTTGTGCCTTTGTTGGCCTTACTCCCTGAATGAAGGTGATCGACTTTATTATTTGAAAATGTCAAAATTACACGTTTCAACGATGTTTTTGCATTGGTCGCGATCATCGTATTTTGTGCAGTGTCTGGCTTTTCGTGTTTTCAATTCGTTTCTTCAACTGTAGCTGCACTTCACTCCTATAGGCTATTCAGGCAATTTGCTGGTTCGCCTGAGCAAAATTTGGCATCAGTTAGAATTAAAATTGATGAATTTCAGTTTTTCATCAAATTTGTTGATATTTATGATGTTCTAATTAGTTTTTCAAGTTCGCGTGTTGTTTTTAAGCATTACTTGTAACCTTTCAGGGTTGTCCTAACAATTCCGTTGGATCTTTGCTGGCACATTTGAGTGTTTTCTTTCCGCATTTCTGCAAAGATATCCCTCGAAAGTTATTTTTCTTGTTTTTCCTATACTAATACATGGGAATGTTGAGAATTGATGTATGTCATCAAATTTTGGTCTGGTAGTGGAACAACTTCGTGCCTGTTCGTCATTGGTGATTTGAAGATTAATGAGCCCAAAATTTTTGAATTTCCTTCGAC